GTACAGGGGCTGCTTCAGGGCGATTTTTGCTTTCCCGGAGCGGTGTAGTGTCTTGTTCTCCCATCTGTAAATTTGTTTCTCGTATGGGCTTTATCCGCCAGAGGTTTGGTTTCAGTATTCCTTCTTGTATAAAGAGGAATTATGGTGACCTGACTCCTGACCCCGTTTGCTGAAAATCTTCAGGTTTCCCAACATCACAAGTAAATTAAAAAGAAAAAAAATGCACTTGATCCCTAAAGATGGTAAGAAAGGATGCAGGGCTTTTATAGATCGCTTGGCAAAAGTTCTGATGCCTTTTGCTATAGATATAGTTACGGCATTCAAGAAGACTTAAACACGAAGTATCAAACGCAAGTGCCTACATACTGTATATACAATAGTAGGAAAGAATTAGATAATTCCAAAGCAGCTTGAGCTCACGAGAGTCACAGTAATGTTTAGGGAAAAATGGTAAATGGCTTTCCCCCCCCCTTTTTTTTTTAAGGTTTAGCGCTAGTAACTTGAGTTCACCTCGCTTAACTAACACACAGGTTGCCTTCTCCCAGACTTGCTTCCAAGACCCTCAGGTGTTTCATTAGAACCAATTTCTTGAAGTTCTGCGAAACCGGGCTGCTTCTTTCTGACACAGAAAAACACGCAACTCATCTAGCTGCTATGAAATCTTTTCTCCTACGCAGGTTACGACCGATACTACAATAAATACATCAATGTCAGGAAAGGGGGCCTTGGTGGCATCTCCATGGTGCTTGCTGGTTATGTTGTTGTCAGCTACATCTGGAGCTACAGTCACCTGAGTAAGTAAAAGCAGTGTGGCTGAACGTATGTAGCGCAGCTCGGAAGATTGCTTGGGGCAATAAAAACAATGACTCTGCTGCTGCTTTTAGAAATAAAATGAAAGACTGTGCTAACCATCACTGCTTGAATCCAGGGCTGTGGGCAAGCAGACTTCTAGCTATAGAGAGCTTGAATACTTTTAGTAAGTTATCAGATGGCCAGTATTTTCTTGGTGATGAAGAAAGCTTAGATCTTGTTGCCTGTCTGATCTGACAGTACCTAGAAACTACATGCTCAGATTTTTTTTTGAGTGCTTTCTTTCCGGTAATTTCAGGTGTGGTGCTTTTTTTCTTGTGACTTCAGTAAAATTAACTTGCTTTTCTTCAAATGATACAGAGCACGACCGCCACAGGAAGTACCACTGAAGCGTGAATTTCAGAAAGTGAAGGTACAGCTCTTGAACAGACTTGGCTACTGGAACAATTATCCTGACAGAATACATCAGAACTATTCATATTAAGATCTGTAGGATTATGACCAATAATAAAGTGCATACACTTTACATTTACTGAGCTGCCGCTCTTATAACTGACTTGTTAATTGTACTGTGCAAGTGAGCTTGTCGTCTTAGAGTTTCATCCCCCAAGGATAAGTTCAGAGACTGTTGGGAAAGCATCTGCTACTTGGGTTACATTATGAACTGGGGAAACTGTTATAATTGATTCCTATTTAACTGTTCGATAAAGGTAAAAAGCATTGGATTGCTTCTTAATGGCCATTAAGTACAGGCTGGACATCTAGCTGAAAGGATATAGTATTTTGATTTGAAAGAAGAGTATTTGAGCTTTAAGAGGCTTCTTGGTGTGGCCGCGTGTTTCTCATTCTCAGTCAGGCCGTCACCTGGGGACTGTAGGTATTTGGGTGGTTTTCCATCAATGCAGAGCACTGCCTCAGATGAGATCGGTCGAGCTTTAAGGTCTGCAACTCATTCCGTCACTGGGTTTGTAACGCTTCTTACCTCTGATAACCCATTTCTATCAAAACTCTACCTACTTTCATTACTAAAAGAAGCTGCAAGGTTATTCTGCAGGGGTATAAGCTTAAAAGACATATAATAATGCATATAGCATATAACAATGGTCCGTGAAGTTAAAGCTAAAGGATAAACTTTGCTTCTTGACTTCACTGCAGCAGCAAGGAGACACCATGCGCATAAATGCCGCTTAAAACAGCCTCTGGGTTTGGCCCCAGCTGCTGACCTTCCTCCCGCACCCCTCTGAGCAAGCGCGTCCCACGGTCGCGACGCTGCCTGCCAACACCCGAAACTGCAGCTGGGCACGCAGGTAGGACCCGCGGTATCCCCTTCTGAGTAGGGGGAGAAGGAAAACCACTTCTTGAGGGATAGGAAGAATCTCTCAAGAGCTTCAGTGGTAACAGCGAAGGCTTTCCGTTTTGGAAAACATCTGTTCAGGCAGTGAAGACCATAAACTCCTGAACTAGACAGGGAAGGCAGCCGGACACCGAGGTGTTGTAGTTCCCTTTCCACATGCTTAGTTACACGCAGAAAACACACCTCGGCATTTGGCCGCTGTTCAGCCTCTGGGGGCACAATGTGTTACGAGAAGTGTCCGATGGTCTGTCATACCATAATCACTTACACCTGAAACTGCTAATTTGACTGACTCAGACTCTGCAGTGAAATAACCGCGGTCATTCAAATCAATATAGGCTCCGGTCACTTCTCTTAATCTAGTCATATTACCTTGTTCTTAAAAAAAACCCAACCAAACAAAAAAATTCACAGCCAGCTTCTTCCATCAGTACATTTCAATAAAAACAAAGTATAAAGGCAGTCAGCAAATGAGAGACTGGTTAGAATTAATAAGGCTCATGTTGTAGGTGCAATTTTTTTTTTTTTTAATTCACATTTTATCATTGGCCCTTTTGAAATAGTCTTCTCACAAAATGAATGGGTTTTGGCTTGCAAAAATTGCTCTCCGAAAAATGCTCTACCACTTTTAAAAGCAGTGTTCCGTAATAATACACATCTCCACTTCTCGGTCTTCTCTAGGCTATGGAAATACCTGCTCAGTGTGAGCTAGACGACAGGGGTGCTGAGGCAAGGCTCTTCTATTCCTACTCTTCAAGCTGTGTTCATTTCCCTCCTTGGTTTTTGCAAATGGAAAATGAGCACAGGTGTGGCTTTCCTACAACCACCGTTCCTCATTGGTTGGCTAGCCACAGAGAGGCCAATTTATTCTCCCCTTGATCAGTTCTCACCCAGAAGATCAATTTCTAACCTTCAGTATAGCCAGAAGCACAGAAACAAAGCAAGTGGACGAGTTTTACAGCCTGATGTACGTGATGCATTAAGTCAGCCACCAGGACAAGCTTACCGACTACAACAGGCTGGACCTAGGAACGCAACTTAGCTTTTTAAGAGCTACAGGACAGCAGAATCCCTGCTTCCTCACTGAAGGGAAGGCATTTCAAGTATGAATTTTCCCAGTCAGTCTTCCTGCTTCCACAGGGAGGGCTGAAACGCTGCAGGTTCTCCAAAGAGAAGTGGCAGAAGGAAAACACTTTAAAGAAACACTGGCGTAAGATGCGTTTACGTAGAGCGCTGCACTGGTGAGGGGTTTGCATATCTATTGGCTTTTAGATCTACCTTTCAGCAGGGCTCAATGAAAATAGACGGAGGCCAAAATCTGTTTTAAAAAGGTTAAAACATAAAAAAAAGTTGTGGACAATTACAAAAATGTTGCTTAGCAGCAGCCAGCCTCTGACCAGTTCTTTCAGTAATGGCATTAAAAAACCTGATTAATAGTTCAAGACATAGTGCTAGGCAGAAACCTTTTCTCAGTGTTAACAGCAGCCTCGCACTCGTCGTTCTGCTCTTTCACTGTCCACTGAGAAAGGCCAGATGTCCTTTGGTGCATCTGTTGGCATAATGACCTTTTTCACCACACTAAAAGAGAAAGAGAGAGAGGAGTTATTACACAGTTACAGCTTTTTTTTTCCTCTAGCTGCCTTTATCAAGGTAGCTGGCAACTGTTCTGATTTGAAAGCTTTTCCACGTATGGAAGATGCGGCATTTAGCAGGTGAAGTAAAACACGGTGTCACGAGGGCCATGACTTTTGGGCTATTTCTACTCCTTGGAGCAAAAGCTGCTTCTGTGCTGGGAGCAACCTGACACCACGTTACTGTAATGCACTACAAAGGAGAGAGCGCTCAGCGCACTGCTACAAACAGCGCAGGGCTGTAACACACACAGAGGCTTTCAGCGTTTGAGGCTTCCAAGACTACACCATCTGATGTGCACTACATCCGAGATACGTGGGGACTCTCCTGATCAGCTATCCTGAATTAGACAGAGAAAAGCACACCTGAACAAGAGATCACGACTTTGCACCTTGAAGCTATTCAAGCCCAGAGAGAAATGCCAGTATCTGATGCTACAGCATTCTCCAGCTATGTAATTTACTTGCAGCTATAATAATAAGCAGCTCTTTTCAGTGAAATGGATTCGGCTACTTAATATCCCTATCCAATCACAGTAATTTTTACACAAACGAGCACCTAAGGCACAGAAGCTGGCATGTACAACAATGTAACTGTCAAAGCTGATGGGACAGGGAGATTCTTTGCCCTTTTCCAGTGGCTACGGTTGGGGCTTTTGTGGAAAAATAATCAGAGATGGAAACTCAATCATGTCAAAGTTTTACCAGTGCTCTTCAATGAGTAACCAAGGTGAATTGCTCATTCCTTGGTTTGACAGTGACGGGGTGCGTTTACAGCTGAAATACTGATCAACCTTTGCATATTCCATTTCTGTTACTTGCAAGGACCTTCCATGCTAACAGGGGAGAAGAAAATCTTTCTACAATCACCAAGTATAAGCAAATTAACTAGTGAGACAAAACTAATATTAGCTCTTATTTTGAAACGTGTACGTTTCATCAGTCTCCTTTAACTGTCATTGCAGTAGGGCTTTCTATTTATTAGCAGCGAAGTCTGGCCTACAGCAGCCTTAATTGTCACAGCAAGTCCGTGAGCTGGCAAACCAGCGACCTAGAGGCCTCAGAGCTCAACGCTAATTCCCACAGCTGTATCCATGTGCAAAATGCAATGTCTGTTGAGCGGAGCGCACGTTTCGTGACCCTGTTCACGCTGTGCAAGAACCTTTTGCAGGACCAAGACCCCTCATCACAACAGTCCATTCCTTTGCCCATAACAAGCAACCAGCAGCAAAGCAGCGTGATGTAGTCCAGGTGACGTGCACTCTGTACTCCTTACATCGAGCACCCTCCGCTTTCCCTCCTCGTCCCACCCCTCTGAATTACCTTGTAGCAGGTGACCTGCTCCAACGGCCGGGGTCCCCTGTTCCCAGTGTTGTTGTTTTGAGACTGCATGACTCCAATGACTTGGGGTGTCCTCTGTTGGTTAGGAGAAGAGTTCTGACTCGTTAAGTGCATCGAGGATAAAGACCTTTATGGTTGTTATTTTGTTAAGAAGGGAAAAGAGCACCCCATCTATCAAATTACCAATTTTCCTCCAAATCTGTGTGTGGGTGCTCTGCCAGCTGGAGCACCAGAGAGAAGCAAGCAAGCACTGAGGCTTACAAAGCCCAGCGATCCTGCTTTTCTCTGGAAAGCAGATTTAGAGAGTAGGTTTAAGCTGCTAAAATATCATTGCCATCACCAAGAGATGTCACACAGATTACAAAAGCTGGCAGATCGCCGCACAACCACATACAATGCGCTTCTATGTAACGTGGGAGTGTTCTGTGACTGGACCTCCATGGGAAGCTGGAGCAATTGCAGGGCTTTCATCACTACAGTGGCACTCAGGGCTGCTCACTGTTTAATTCTTGCATAGCACCCTCCCTTACAGGCAGCGCCCCAAGCAACGGAACTGCCGCTGCTGGCCTCCAAGCTGGAGGACAGTACTGATGACTGAGAAGGTTAACCAAGGCGAGGGGAGAAACAGAACAAAGGAAAAACACCAGGGTCCCAGGATGAAGGCAGCAGCAGTCCGTTGTGATCAGATAGTGGACATGAGAGGGCTGGGAGGAGGAGAGAGAAGGGACAAAGCTTTGCGGCTTATTAGGATTTGTCTCCAAGTTCTTAATTACAAAAGAATATCACGCCCTGTTGCAAAATAGGAAAGGTTTTCCCTCATTCAGTGAGTATTTCTCTAAGGCTTTCTAGGAAGCCATGTCCAAGAGCCCAGCTGTCCAGTTCTGACCACTAGACAATACACCTTCTTTTAAAGCACAGTGGGAAATGCTTTGAGGGTGGGTGTGTAGGGGAGGCAGGGGAATTGTGTACCTTTTGCTGTGTTTGTGTCGGCTGAGGCAGTGGTGGTTGCTCTGTCGTTCCCATTGGCAGTTCAAACCGAGGGCTGGTTTAGATGGAAACAAGAAAATTGATTCTCAAATCACATGCCAACATTTTACCATCAGCTCAGTCAAGTAACTCCAAACAACAGAAGAAACATTCAGCCAATTAAATTCGGCTCACAGGAAATAGCTCTCCCCCTCTCCACTTCTCTTCGCATTCTGATGCACAGCAATTACGTACACAAAAACAACAATCCCGTACGTAGTATATCCCTCTACTTGTGAGGTCTTCTGGAATATAAACCCATGTGATCCCACTGCACTGATGGCATCTGATCACCACTCCAGAGTCTTACCGGTAACTCCCTGAAGAGGCCCTGCCCCACATCCTCAGATCGGTAACAAACTAAACATTGGCCAAATCTCCAAAGCCATTGGGAAGCACTGGAGCACCCTCATTTGACATATACCGGATTACAAGGGAAACACAAGACTACAGGAGAAGCCTGGAAGCATACTCACTGCATGAATTTACAGGTAGGCCCCTCTGGACAGAATCCTACTAGGTAATTCACACAGATGACTCTTCGAGTGTGCCGGTGTCTGCAGAGGGGACCTGCAACACAAAGCTCAGTAGTTCACGTTCCATGTATACGTACCCCAGCACTCAGTAGCAGCAGGTACGCAAGCAGATCACGCAAAGAAGGAATAGCAACGCCCTACCCTTCATTTATAGCCACAGAAGCAGCAACTGTGCGACGTACATACCATGTTTACAGAAGCCTCTGTCATACCAGGGACAGTCTTTGATCTTAGACTCCGGGTCAATGTGCAAGAATGGACATTCTTTGTTACTGCATTCCCCTGTACCAAAGGCAAACACACCTCTTAGTCAATTGTGCGGGTTCGAGATCAAATGACTTCCAAAACATTACCTGGATCATGTAGCTCCCACAAAGCTGTTACCAACATTTATAAGTTCAGGCACAACAGTCTTGCTGCCTGCCTTAACCTAGATGAAGAACACCAAGGACTCACCACCGGTGAGTAAAGTTCTACCAGACTGGATTACTTATGTGTGCTTTTAAAAACAATGCGGAAACTAAATTTGAAAGAGCAGTCATGATAACAAAAACCAAACATTTAGTGCACCAGAAGCGTGGAGAAACTACAAATTGCGCACTAACCTCAATCCAAGGAAACCTACAAGACTGTAAGTTTCTGACAGCAAGTTGCCTCATTATGTCCAGATCTCCAGAGCTGGAAAGCAAGTGCATAAAAGTTTTGCACTCCCATGCCCTCTGCTGCTCATCAACTCCCCAAAATAAGAGTCATGCAAAGACCAACTGCTCAGCCTACTCATCTCATACCCAAAACAGAACACAAGGCATAAAACCCAGTAAAAACTTGAACTTCCCCCCTCTTCCCCCAAGGGACAAGCTCTTGAGAGAGAAGACATCTACAATACGTCACAAATTTAGGGGGACAATAAGGTGAAGGAAGGACTAAGCAGAGCTGAAAAAGTACAATCTAACGATATCATCAGACACAGAAAAACTGTAATGCTCTGAAGACGGATGAGAGGGATGTACTGGGATCCTCTTCACCAGACTCCCACGCCAGCAAGGAACGCTAAGTAGGAGCTACAATGCCCCTTACCAAATTTGGAGTAGAAGTAACACTCAGGCATCTTGGTCATGTCGTACTCGTGCAGAAACTCGCACTGGTCTCCCTTTTTGCACAGTCCTCGTAGCCAGTGTTTGCAAACAACTGTCTTTTCCCCGCTGATGTGTCGGAACGGGCACATGCCTCCTGCAGAAGGATGTGACAAAGAGAAGGGTAAAAAAAGAGCAATTAAGATCTACGACAAATGAAGGCACAGGACATCAGCAACACCTCGTTCCCCTCTGCAAGAAAGGTTTCAGAAAACATCATTTTTTCTTATGAATTTAGCCTTTAGTGGCAACGGCAAAACAGGGAGTTCCAGACAAGTCTTGTGTTACCCTCGAATGAGCTAAGCAACATAGTCTCCAGCTCTTAATCCTGGCAACCACAAACCACAGCAACTAATACAGACACATCCACAGCAAGGTCTGCACGTGATAAGTTCAAGCCTTCCTATACCGGTAGCTGTGTTTATTCACCTCCCAACTTCTTAAAAAAATACCTTCATTTCACGATTGCTGCAGTTATTCCAACATCCTTCAGTTTGATCCTCTGTCTAGGTTATCCCCTCATCTTTACAAAAAACAAGAGTCCTGTAGACAGTGCTAGAAAACCTAGTTTCCCCCCTCCACCCCCATGCGTATAACTGTATTGGAAATATCACTTGCCTTTTCCACAGGCCGCCTTTAAAAAAAATTCACAGACAGCCGCGCCCGATTCTGTGGAGAAAACAAAGAAATAGAATTAATTTTAACAAAGTTTCACATCAACTTGTAAAATATTTCCTTCCCCATAAAAGACAATCCGGTCCTCAACATCAAAAGAAATGCAGTGCTTTGGTTTGGGGAATTTACTTTCCCACATAAGTTCCTTGTTCAAGTTTGGCCCTTGCAAATATCTGTATTCATCCTGGGGGATACCAAGGGGAATTTGCAGACATTTGGTGCTTGTTTTGCTTTTCAGATATTTAGGTTTTATTGACTGGGCTTTCCTCTGCTGTTAAGTCAATCACGTCAGCGAACCCTGTATTTACAGTCCTGGCAACGACAGTCTTGTATTTTTTTGACCAGAACAGCCTGAAACAACCATTAGTATGTTATCCCTTGCTGATCCCGACCAACAGGTATCACAACATTCAACAAAATTAAAACATGAGTTTAGTAGCCCACCCAGAAAATTTCAGCAAACTACAAGTCTCCTGAGACTACTGTGTCAGATTATTAGACTGAAGGAAAAGGTTAGAGACTAGGCCATGGATGGCCTACTAAAGATGAAGTCTCCCTGCCATCAAAATGCCTCATCTATCAAAAGGGAATTAAAAAAAATAATAAAAGTATAGAATTGTAGAATCATTTAGGTTGGAAAAGACCTTTAAGATCATCCAGTCCAACCATTAACCTAACACTACCAATTCCACCACTAAACCAATAAAGGGGAGAGGAATATTTTCCTGTTTCCTGGCTTGGAGGCTGGATTACTTTTTAATGAGTACAAAGTACTGTGCAGGAATGCAATGTTTATTCAGGGTAATGCCTCAACTTCCATTTTCCAGCCTGGCTGGGTACTACCTCCAGCTTTCATTACATAGGAAAGAAACACATCTGGATTGAGACAGAAAGCTCAGAGGGAAAGCAGATGTTGGGTTCACAGAAACATAGATTCTATGATCTGAGGATAGGACCCGAGCAAGGCGCTCAGGTCCCCGGAC